AACAAACTCTATGAGGCATAGGATGTGGGGCCCAAGAAGACAGATGATATTCTCTTCAACTTGAAGAAAAAACTTATTAACAAGTGACTAATTCAAGTTGTGACCATTTATTTAGTAAAAATCAATTAGAATGCCAATGTGTATGAGGACTTGGGAAGACTACTTTAGAAGGTATCTTAGCTAGGGTTTCTGTTATTTTGGTACACATCATGACCAAGAGGGAGGAAAGGATTTATTTCAACTAATTAACAGTCCATTGCTGAGAGTAAGTTGTGGAAGAAACTTGGAGGCAGGAACTGGAGCAAACAACACAGAAGAGTGATGCTTGCTAGATTGCTCTCCAAGGCTTGCTCAGCCTGTTTTCTTATACAGCTCAGAATCATCTGCCCGGGAAGACACCACCTGTCATGGGATGGTCCTCCCACATCAATCATTAATCAATACAATGCCCCACAGACTCACCTACAGGACAATCTTATGGAGGTGTTTTCTTAATTAAAAGTCTGTCTTGCTACCTCTGTCTAGGCGTGTCTCAAGTTGACAAGTAACAGCACAATTGACCCCTTGTCAACTCGGCATACAAAAACATCATATTACCTTTTATTTCTTGCTCTTCCCCAAGATTTCATATTAACATCAATATCAATATCACAATGAAAAACATTCCAACTTTTAAAAGTTCCATAGTCTTTAGAAGTTCAGTCACAGGTTGGGTGGGTGTAGTGGCTCATGCCTTTAATGCCAGCACTTGAGGCTGAGTCAGGCAGATCTTTGTGAGTTTGAACTCAGCCTGAGACCAAAGAGAGTTTGGAACAAAGAGAGTTCCAGGATAACCAGGGATCTTAGACAGAGAAACTGTGTCTTGAAAAACAAACAAAAACATGAACATTAGTCTCTTTAAAACAACCAGAATTTCAGAGTCTTAAATTTATCCAAAGTATCTCTGAAAATCTATTTTCTCTAAAATATTCAAAGTCTAAGATCTCAGTCTCTCAATTGTGGTTCCTTAAAATGAAGAAATAAGTTAAATACTTTTTGTTTTACACTAAGAGGGAAAAACTAGGTTACAATCACAATCAATGTAAAATGTAAAAAGTCACAATTTAAAAAGGTCAGTGCTGGATGGCTGGTACACACTCATGATCCTATGGATCCCAAAGGGCTCAATTTCTCTGGCTGTGCCACCTGCCACCTGTACAGTTTGACTTGAGGGCTCAGGATGGCTCCCTCCACATCACAGGATGGCTGCTGTCCTTGTTGGCCATCCCATGATACTGGCAGTTCCAATATGCTGGGATCTCTACTAAAATGGGCTGCACCTTCAGTAACAGCCTATCCCAGGCTCTCATCAGGTACTCTTACCTGTCCCATGGCACTAAGTCTCAACATCTCTCCATAACCCCTTCAATCCTGGGGCTTTTACAGCTACCGAGATTGCTTCTTCCCAGTGGCCTCTCCTGGTCTCTCACAGTGCTAAGCTAAACCTTGGCTGCTCTCTAGTACTCTTTTGTCCCTTCCAGGCCAGTATCACCTGGCAAACTCTTCAACATTCTTAAGTTCTTCTGCCAGTACAAGGTACAGCCTTGGCACCCTCTGAACAAGTTTCTGTGCCCTGACCCTGAAGAAATACACCCAGAAGATCTCACCTAAATGATGCTGGCCTCTTCTGTGTCACCATCAGTTTCGCAGCTCCACCTACCTAGCATTGACTGGCCCAGCAGAGTGAAGACTTTACTTTTGTGCTTACATTCTCATGTTAATCACAAGTGCAGATTCAGCCCCACTATCCCAGAACCCCATACAAAATATCTCATAAATGGCCAGTGGAGTCTTTGCTTTCCTCTGAAGCTTCACAAGTAAGGGCCTTTGTAGAATGCTTGCCTTCCCTCCTACTCTGCTTGATCTCTCCCCAACACCCCAGCTGAACTGAAAGTTTTGCTCTTTTATGAGAGAGGTTGATTATTCTTTATTTGTTGTTTAAATAACAACCAACCATATTTTTATTTTCCATTTTGCAATGTGAAAAAAACCTTAATTAAAGTAAATGACTAAGAGATCAACAACTTTCATGGATTATTTTCTCAGAAATTCTATATATGGATATATAATCAATATTTTCATAGTTTCATATTTTCATATCTGTGTATTATATTTACTTCATTTTCCCATGTCTCCCTCCGAAATCCATGGCTTCCCTCTTTATTATTGTTTTAAATATACATATATTAATATGTATACAAATACAATCTTATGAGTTCATTGAATATTGTTCATCCACACATATGTTTAGGGCTGATGGCTTGGGATTGGATAGCCTAGCAGAGGTTATACAGGGCTCTTTCTGGAGAAGTTTGATTTTCCCACTAGCCACAGTTATTAATTGTTTGTGGCTCTTCATCTAGGGGTGGGCTCTTGTTCAATTTCTCCCATCCACTCTTTTTCAGATTTTGTTTAACTGAGATAAGTGAATTTTTATTTTTTCATACCTTTATCTGCCTGGCTTCTGTCCACTTTTTATATTTCACTGTATGTGTTTCTAATTCCTAAGTGTGAGTCACAAGCATGTCTTTGAGTCATTCTCATGACTTGGCATCTGAGTCTACAGACTGTGTCTCGCTCAGGGCAGGCATCCTCAGATCATGGGCTATTTGGATGGCGTTCCTGAGGTCTTGATATTGGCAGTAAAGTCTCACTAATTAGGCAAGAATCTTCCTACAAAGTGTTAGAAGCCAAGAAAGAAAAGCATTGGAACTTCACCTCTGCCACAAAAACATAGACATGTATACTGTTTACTTTTATACCAAGAAAACAAGCAGAGAAGGGGGATCACTTAGAATGATAAGTGTTTTTATATGGGGACATTATCTTTTGTAGAACAACAAGTTCCTAAATAACATAATGCAAATACCACAACGGCAGATGGCTGTTCCTGTGGTCAACTGAAACCTGCCACTTGTACCACAGTACTTTATGAAGAAGGGTTTTGCTGAATTAATGAAAGATTCATTGTTTTATGACCACATAAGACTGCATTACAAGGTTGCACACCTGTAAGGAAGACTAGAACAAGATTAGATACATGCTGGCATACTGGGTTAAATTAGTACACCTTCCATATGCTAGCATATTCAGAAATTTCAATTCTTGATATCAAGCAGCTTTGTAACATCCCTTTAGGGTCAAGGCAGGAAAGAGAAGCAAAGGCATGCCAAAAGATTCATGGGAACTAGAATCCCAGGAAGGCTGAACTCACTCCGTGGACTTGCTGGCTCCTTAACAATTGGCAGTTGTACTGCACTTAGCAGACCCACAGCGCATCACATGCTGCTTCTTCTGCTCCCTTTTCTCTTGCTATTCATCATGGAAAAGTAAAACAAGGCAGCCATTTCCTTCCTGTCACAATACAAATCTCTGCCAGAGTCACTTCTAAAGTTCCTTGTATATTGTAAGAGTTATAAAAGTTAATCATCACAAAGTGTTATCTCACTATTAGGTTTTCTTTCAAAAGACTTTTTTTAATCTCAAAGAAAAAAGTAAGTAATAGAATATGAAAGTGGATTGCTAGCTTGAGGTTTCAAAACTGTTCAACCCAGAAAACATACATACAAGTAACATTATGGACTTAACAGATTATATTTACTAATATATGTATACAAAATACATGATTTATATATCTTTTATATATATATGATATATATATATATATATATTACATGGATATGCTCACTACATACATAAAAATCATAGTATCTGTGAAAAAAGAGGCCATGAATTTGATGAGAACAGGTAGGGTTATCTGCGAGTGTTTTGAGGGAGAAAGGGGAAGGGGGAATGTTGTAATTTTATTATAATCTCAAATATAAGCAAAAATTATTTTCACACACTCAAGGATTCCAGAAAAGTATATATAGATATGTATCTTAACTTTAAAAAGTCAGCTATAGATATTTTTAGTGGAAATTATAATTTTCTTTGTATTTCAAATTGAAAACATCACCAATCTAGTTTTTATGTTTTCCCCATGTTATGTCCACATTTAGAAATATATGACTAAAAGGTAACAGGATAGTGTAACTGATTGCCCAGATTTCTCTTTTCAAAAAAGTTTAAATTATATAATTTCAGAACCTTGGAAAACTGTTTAGCTAGAGATTATCTTTACTGCTATCCATATTGATATGTGTCAGTTGCTATTAAATGGGGTTCACTTTAGTGAATTCATCTTAGGTAATATATATTGCATTAGTGAAATATATTAAATAGTCTAGTGATTGATTGCATGTTTGGAGAAATACGATTTTATTTGTTATGCCATTGATTTAATACATATTCAATAATATTTCACTGAGTTTATTTGATTTTGGCATGGTGTGCAGAGCTAAGTGAGATGAATACATGCTTCAATGCTAGTTTAAACAAATTCTATTGATATATATTTGTTCTTGCTAATAAAACATATCCATTGGCTGGATGATAGAATGTCACCCTGTCAGACTGCTTTTCGTGGGCTTGAAATTGTGCTATTCCAGACCAGCTGGAGCCTCACATGAAGCATCATTTCTCAAAACACTGTTTTAACACATGCAGTCTTGGAGAGAATTGGGCAACACAGGCATCCGCTGACTGACCCAAGGAAGTATTCTTCATACTACTCCAAAATTGTGACAAATGAAAACAGGTTTGTTTTCCCTAACTTTCATTTAAACTTAATAATATCCATGCTGTAAATACTTGTTCCCAGACTCATCTATTTATATGACACTTGCAATAATTTCTACAGCCACTTGCCAGGTCAAAAGGCAACTATGTTCACTGACAGATACTTTTACCCTGAAGCTGGTATCTAATCTCCAGTTTCTGTAGTGTACATCTTCCTTCAATAAATATTCTTATTAATAATTAAACTAAAGTGAAATGTTTCTGAAACAGATGTTGTTTTTAGTTATTGAATATAGAGTAAGTTGGCATCAAACAGCAGCTGTTCTTGTTTATGTTTGCAGATATTCTCCTGGAACCAAAAGTTCTTCAGTCCAGAGCTCTCATTCCACCTGTCTTCCTGCATACACATATCTGGAGAGAGTGAAACCCCAAATCCAGTTCCTGGTGTGTTAAATGAGAAACTTCAGTGGAATAGAAAGGGCTCAAGCAACTCCAGCACAGGGACACAGGTAGGAGACAGTGGAAAGAATATGGTGACTCTTTGCAGTAGAAATCCTTCAGGCTTCTAATCTTAGTGTTGCCTGTTGACCACATAAAAGTTATAACTTTGTTGTGGAAGAAAAAAAAGATGACTGATAGATAAGCAGTAAGAATCTTGTTTGGTTTTTATTTGACTTCCATTTTAAAACCAACTAAATTAAAAAGGAATATATATATTCAATTGATTTCAGAAGACAGAGTATGACTGAGTACAGTTATTCACTATGATAACTACCAGGAATATTTCCCACCATTTGCATTGGTGGCATTGATTGTCAGTGTGTCAATGCCTAATGTGGAAAACCCCAGATATGGTTTGAAAAATATTCTGGACTTCATTGTCATGTTTATGCTAAAAGATATGTGATTCCAAAGTTTTATTCTGCATATATAAGATATATAGAGGGTGCTTGAATGTTTAACCATTTTAAAAATGATTTGTTTTTAATTATGTATATATGTGTGGATGTATGGTGGGTGTAGGCACATGTGATTACAGGTGCATACAGAGTCCAGAAGAGGGCATGAGAGCCTCTGGAGCTGGTATTACAGATGGTTGTGATCTGTCTAACCTGAGTAAGGTAGGAAACAATCTTGGTTCTCTGTAAGAGCAGTATAATGCCGTTAACAACAGAGCCATTCTCCAGCCTGAACGTTTAATATTTTATAAAAGATCTTTAATGTTCAGGAATGGAGTTCCAAGGTAATGTATTTGTTGGTGTTCAAAAATGAATTTGAAACAAAACCAAAGTCAAGATAATTGGCTGAAAGCTTGTATTATAAAGAGATCCTAATTATTTAGATATTCATAGTGACTTAGACTCAATTGACTATAGTTACTACAACACTCCAGCTAGAAGAAATATTAGGGTTGTGGCCATGCCTAGAGAATTGCTTGTACTAATGTGGTAATGTAATTCCTCCACAGTAAATACATATGAATAAAAGAGTCCTCCAATATGATAGTTAGCATTAATTGAACAGTTCTGACCTACACGCATGTCCTCTGCTATAGCTTGGACATGAAATATCTCCTTAAAGGGCTCATCTATTAATGGCTTGTTCCCCAAAGTAAACAGTTTCAGAGATGAGGTTTTGGGAGAATTAGTGAATCACAAGATCTCTGCCTTTGTCAATGAATTAACTCAATGATAGATTCAGTTTTATTGGAAGGTGGGAGTTTCCTGAGGAGGGGACTATTTAAAGGAAGTAGGTTACTAGGGGCACATTCTCAGGAACTATGTCTTATGGTCGACATCTTCCTCTCTGCTTCCTGGCTGCTATTAGTCATTTTTTCCTCCACCTGGCCTTCCTCCATGATGTTTTTATCTTGAAATAAGTCTGGTAGCAAAAGAGCCAGCTAACATAAACTTGTGTCTCTGAAATAAGGAGCCAAAAGAAACCCTTCCTGAAGTGTGTAACAGTGACTAAAGCCTGACTAATGTGCCTTCAACTGTCTAAATGCTCTCAGGTTGCCATCTTGGAATAACCATGCAGAACACATATTTTTTCTCCAAGTCAATGTTGATTGATTTCACATTATTGTCTAAGTTTAGATTCAAGTTGGCCACACAACAAAATTCAGCTTTTGATTCATTCAGTGCTGATGTTTTGAATGACCCGATATCTGAAGTTATATCAGAAACTTCAAAAATGCTGTACATAAAGACACAAAGAAAAAATCTTATTGTAGTCAGACCAATCAGGAAGGTAGACATGTATGTCAACTTTACTGTGATAAATTGACAAAATATCCAAACTAATAAATGGCCCCTTAGCAAGCATTCAAACTCATTTGCAAGCTTTGTCTTGCAGTTTGTGACAAGTTCTGTGTCAAGAATTGGATTTTGTTTGAGTAAAGACTGCAAAGGAAGAAGGGGTTGGATTATATTTGACCTTTAACAGCATAGTACAAACTATACCCTTTAACCCCACCCTTTTCTCTAGTTAGAAGCCATAGATGATTGGCTGCGTTAGTGAGTGTCTAAAGTGACCAGAGACAGTTGGAATTCTTTTAAAGTGATAATAAACAATTTAAAGTTCTTTTCCTAAAATTTGAATACAGGATGTTTTTCACAGGTAGCATGCTCATGATGGTTATTACACTTTGAAGCAACATGTCCACTTTAAAACACAAGCTTCTTCAAGGACCATGGGTCATTTTCATAAAACAAATTGCCTAGATCTGCAGATCTTAAAAGTATCTAATGCCAGAATAATAATTAAGTTGCAGTAAGGTTGAAGCATTAAAGCTTGTTTTATTGTCGAAATTACTAACTTCTTAGTAACATAACCTTGGAGGGAACCCATAGTTACCATGTGATAGGTTCTTTCTGTTATAAAATGAGTATATGTTAGAAGAAGATAAAGAAATTTTAGAGACATCAATGTGAAATATGTCCCTTAATCATCTCTTGATAATAATGTTGTAATATAATTAACATCAAACACCAGGAATAATGCTATCCTTTCCAAATGTATCTGTGAGCCAGCATTTGAAGAACTCCTTTAGGTTGTCTTTGTCTCCGCTTTACCCAGATATCCTATCTCCTTGTGCAGTAGGAATGCTCACAAGGTCTTACTTTTACAGAGGATGCAATGTGTAACTTGCAGAGATGGGCTACAGTCCTTATATGATTTTCACTCTGCACCCAAACAGATCCATTTTATGTGCTTTTCTTTTCTTTTCTTTTTCTTTCTTTTTTTTTTTTTTTTTTTTTTTTTTTTTTTTTTTTTTTTTTGCTTCAATCCATGAAGAGCTGTACTTACATCATATTAACTGACACAGGTATCTGGCATAATTTGTTCTAACTCTATATTCTTAAAACTCAACAATGAGTTTTGAAAATTGATGCTGATGATTTGTCTGTTTTGAGTTAGAGATACTTGAAAAGCAGCCAGAGCAAGAAGATAATTCTGACATCCTTTACTTCCTTTCTGATTTGTAAAAGCAGGAAATATGAACAGTGTCATCCCTACACAAAAGGAAGCAATAATCTTCTCATCAAGGACAGGAAGTTCAAGCTAGTAGAATGCTGTAAAGACCCAGTTAAAATTAAGTTATCTTCTCAACTTCCCCATGAAACTTAGCTGCTTTCTTATAACACAGTATTCTTGTCCATTCAATATGTATGTAACTGACCCAAATGCTTTTTTTTTGATCATCATTCTTTATGGAAGTTATTTTGTTCTGTAAACTTATTTAACTAAATTTGCTTTCTGCCCATTGAATAGTCCTGTTCATTTAATTGCCAGGTTCCGACAAAAAGAAACACTAGCACAAATGAGATAAAATCTACCTTATTTCTCTACACTAACTCTTACCAATTATTTAATTTCATTCTTTCATTTTTCTCTCATCTATCTTTATCTGAAACATATTCTAACAAATAAGCTATTAAGTTTGAAGTAACCATAAACTAACAATAGTAGGACATTATTTTTAAATTGTCAGACCTCATATTATTATGTCTGTGGGGATAAGTTTTATAAATTATTTTCTTATTGACATGTTTCCTGGAAGCTAAAGAGTATGCTTTTAATAAATATAGAATGTTTTCTGAGAGGAAATTGCTTTTTCTATTTTCTTTGGTTCAGCTATTGGGGGCCTGATATTATAGCTGACAATATGTACAATCATAAGATTAAGAAATGGAATTTCTATGCGTATGGAAAACATGAATGGAAAGGCTTACTGAGTATTCACAGATGAGCACTTACACTCCTCACATTGCTGTGGAGAGGGGCAAGAGAAGATGCTTCTACAGGAGGAACAATGGCTGCCCACCATCAGGAGACAGGAAGGTCTAGGACAACATGATATATTTGGTTATGCAGCTGTGGATCATTGTTGATTATCCTGCAGTCAGAAAATTCCCATGGAGAAAGGCAGGTGTCCATGGCAGCCTCCTCTAGAGTTAAAGGGAAATGTGATTAGGCTTCTTTCTACTCATGTTGAATCTCAAGTGCTGTCAGTTACTGTAACCTTTAAGCCAGTTCCTCATTAGGTCCCCCAAATACCAAGTCTTACCAGCAAAAACCAACCAAACAAAAAACTCCTTTAGAGTTTGTTTTACCCGAGAGATTTGCTTATTGAGCAGTTTCCTAGCCTGACCTTGTGGCACATGCCTTTAATCCTAGCAGTTGGGAGGCAGAGGCAGGTGGATACCTGTGAGTTTGTGGTTAGCCTGGTCTACAAAGTAGGTTCTAGACCAATCAGGGCTATATTATAAGATCTTGTTTCAAAAAACAAACTAACTCAAAAATTTTCTAAGAGACTGGAGAGCTGACCCAGTGGTTAAGAGCATGTACTGCTGCTGCAAGGACCTGAGTGTGGTTTCCAGCATCATTATCAGGCAGCTCACAGCCACCAGCAACTCCAGCTTCAAGGTGTTTGACATGCTACTCATAATTCTGAATGAAGTGCACCAATGTACTATCTATCTATCTATCTATCTATCTATCTATCTATCTATCTATCTATCTACCTATCTATCTCTATCTCTCTCTCTTTCTCTCTGTGTGTTCCTCTCTCATCTCTCTCTCTCTGTCTCTCATACACACATACACAAGTAAATTTATGAATAAATCTTTAAAAACAACTTTTCTAGCAATTTGAAAGCATACTACTTGAATCTAATTGAGTTTGCTGTTTGAATAATGTTAATAAATTCAGTTTTAGAACTTCTCAACATTACATGATAAACCAAGAAGGATAACCCTCCAAAAATACATTCAGCTTGAAATAAGTAAATAGCATCTGGGAGCAAAGACTTGAAAGAAGACAGAGCAGAGGCAGTGCTCTGAAGTGCAGGCAAGATGAAGGTATTAATCCAGTGTCTTCAAAAGATAAAGGATCAAAGCCGATGACCTGGTGAGCTAGGACACTGTTCAACTGTCACTATAATAGTGAATATACACAGACATATAAGTAATTAATGTCACTATGAAATACAGAATAGCATCCATTTGCATAGTTCTCTCTCTAAAAATAAACTCTTGAAATAGCAAATACATGAACTTCATAAAGTTTCTAAACATTACCTGTAAGTAATTAATAAACAAGCACATGTCTTGTTAAAGTCTAAAGTCGTCATGTCTAACTACAAAACTCAACAACTGTTCTCACTGGAAAGAAAAATACATTTCTAATTTACTGTATGACACCATTGTTGGTTGAAACTTTCTTAGATCAGTGGTAATGTATATGTTTATTTCTGTTGTTCTTAATTATGATTTAATTTAAATTATAATAAATGAAGAATGGTCGATTGAATCTTATTATCATAATTAGAAAATAAATTTTTAGAAAAACACTTTCTTGTTAGTATGAAAAGTTAATTTACAATTACTTATGTCTGAAATCTTCAAAACCTGTCAATGTACAAATACATATATAAATATTCCATCTTTAACTTTAAAATTTTTATTATGCTATCATATCTGTGCTCTACACTGGTTCAAACTAAATCACAAGGAAAAATATTTTGTCTAAGATCAAACTGAATAAAGTGTGGCTTGGGTAGTCTGTGGGGCCCCTGGCAGTGGGACCAGTATTTATCCCTAGTGATTGAACTGGCTTTTTGGAGCCTATTCTCTTTGGAGGGATACCTTGTTCAGCATAGATATAGTGGGGAGGACCTTGGTTCTGCCTCAAAGTAAGGTCCCAGAGTTCCTTGACTCCCTATGGGAAGCCTTACTCACTCTGAGGAGTGTATGGGCGTGGGAGTGGAGGGAAGGAGGGAGTAGCAGGAGGAGGGGAGGGAGTGGGAACTGGTATGTAAAATGAGAAATGATTGTTTTTAAAATAAAAAATGATAAAAATATGAATGAGGAGTTTGGTTAGCTTAAAACTTAGTATGATTTGGAATTCTTCATTGTTACTGCACATTGTATTGTATTACTGCATGAGATGTGCTCAAGTAAACAGGTCACATATCCTTGAAGCAATTTTTGCTGCGGTTGGATGGTTTGGGTTGATTTCTGTAGTTCTATATATCAAACCTAGGCTTTCAGTGCTCACCAATGAGCTACAGTCCCAGATCTTGTTTTCCTGGGACAGCATCTCCATCAGCAGGCCAAATTGGCCTCAATTTAGAACCTCCTTCCTCTTCTTCTCCAATACTATTTCCTTACTGACTTGCATTATGAAAAGTGATAGCAGAAAAGACATATAACAAGTGACAGAGAGTTGGTTGATAGCTCTTGACCATATTGCTGCCAATGATTATTTGCATATATATATATATATATATCCAAAATTAAAAGCAAAAATATACTAAAGACAAAGACATATTGCATTTCCTTCCTTTGTGATATAATGGGACAAATATAAACACAGGATTTGGGAATGAGCATGCTAAAATAGCTTTATTACCTAGGTACCACTGTTCATTCAACCCATTTTTAATATCCAGGGCAGCAGGTGCAGTTTCAAATGCTTATGTCTTAGATTCTGAAGTTGAAAGTATATAAGAGAGTATTTGTTTAATGAGAGTATTTCTAAAAACATTTATCTAGCACCTAACACTGGCTGGATACACAGATATTTCTTTTAAATCAATTTCTTAAGAGTAGTCATTTGGATTTCATCATAACACTGCTGACAAACATCTGTTGGATATGGAAAACCACATTATATCAGACAAGTTATTGCAAAATTATATAAGAATTGAAGACACAGATGAAGATTATTTGAAAGTGTCTATGCTGGTAGTGTATTACTAGAAATTGTTTTAGAAAAATCAGAATTTATCAGCAGATTCTATTTCTCAGAAATAAGTCAGTTGGAAAGATTCACTAATTCTCCCTGTGTGTGTGTAAAGTCTGAGATGATACTAGAAACAGAATATTTATTGTTTTAATGTATAATCATCTTTATAATTTTTGCTATTTATTTTTAATAATGAAGCAAGCATTAACCCTCAGTAAAGAAGACTTAAGTAGATATTTTCTTTGCATTTTATGCTGTATCCCAAAATGCTTTTAAAGTCCATGGTTCACTAAAATAGAGGTTAATAAAAAGAAAGAGCAAAGCAGAGGTCAATTATTAAAATAGGTCATGAAAATAAGAGTACAGAATATGTCTACCATGCAGAGGTCAATTATTAAAATAGGTCATGAAAATAAGAGTACAGAATATGTCTAACATAAAATTATCTGCATGTGTTTCTAACTTAGATATTATAAATATTATTTATCTTAATGTATAAAGCATACAATTCATTCCTTGCACTTAGAAGAAACTGAATATATCTATAAAAGTAGAATGATGATTTTTTTCAAGACTATACAGCCTTTGTAATTGGTTCAAGTCTGTTCTCCTTCCACCTCCACTCATAGACAAACAAGGAAAATAAATGCTTGGGTGGGCTCTACTTTGTTGTTTTCAATGTAATATCAAGTCTAGATGCTGTGAGTTATACATTGAGTTTTTGAAACATTTCACTTGCAACACAAAATACTCACTTTGAAAACATAGAATGAAATAATTAACTAGTCATTTGAGAATCAAAGGTTAGCCCAATACCCAATAGAAAATAAACAAGTGAACATCCAATCTACAGGGCAACTTTTTGCTCTTCTACAACAAATACTATTTCTTGTTCTCAAGTTTATTTCTAATCCTTTTATTGTACATGCATTATATAAACTATGGAACCTTCTTCATATTAATGATGTGTCATCTTCCACTATGTGTTAGCATGAAAGAAATCAGTCACATTTTGCTCTTGTGGTTGTTGTTGTTGGTACAGTTTGAATATTTAGTTGAGCCTTCTGCTTTTTCACAGCTCTTAAAATGAAGCAAAATATTCATGAAATCAGCTACCTTCTGGGAATGAGAGAACCTTGGGCTAACCCCTTCACTTCTCAAGAATAGAAGCTGAATCTGGGGACTCTGTAAGGCCCCTCTGATGCCCTGTGAGGAGTAGAACTGGAGTTCATATTACATCCTTTCCTCTAGGTTCCATTTCTTCTAATGATGTCACATGAGAAAATGGTCTTAAGTGGAAGTCACTTCACTCTCCTTCCTAGCACATTTCGATAATTCTGAGGAAAATGAGGTTCCCTGGGAGAAAGACAGGTGGGTACACTCAGACTTCATTCTTGAGGTATGCTGATTCAGGCACGTCCTGCTGGAGGAATCCCTTCTGTTCCCCCACATTTTTTCTTCTATGCATGTTAAGTTGCCATTGCTTTCCCAGGAGTACAAGAAGAGGCCTGGGACTTCCTCTCCATCCTTCTTCAGTTTAGAACATGTAGGTGTCATTCCAAATGTGATACTAGACTGAAATGTAAAAGCAGAGAAGACTTCTTCATGATGAACCTGTATTTAATTAGGCAGTCGAGCCAATCTAATTCTGGCATGTGACAGATTGAGAGGCAATTTGTGAAGGAAGACATTTACTAAAATAAACACAAAGCTAAACTAAGATGTTAAGTTTGAAGGTGATGAGCAGTGATATATGGTGCTATTGTATCCTGAGAGCCTTGCAATTATCATTTCATTATGCCAATTTTATCAACTTAACATTTTCGTGCTGGGAAAACAATACTGGAATAGAAGCTTCCTCCGGACTAATTTTTGAATAAAATAAACTCATATCATAACTATCTTTTAAAAATTTAACTAAAAGTTGTACAAAAATTTCAAAACACAAAGATGGCTTTAAAGTAAAATTTTAAAGTATGCTTACATTAGAAATTATGCTTATGGTGTTTTAATGTGCACTTAATTTGACTTAGTAATTTATTTTGCTATATCAGATATTTTATTCCAAATTTCATCCAAGTATAAAAAATAAGTATTAATTGGCATGGTAGGGATTACTGGTTTCTTTCCATCAATGGTGATGAAATAAATGAAAATTAAAAGAAGGAAATATCATCTCACATGCATTAAATTTGTTTTTAAAATGTCATTATTTTAAGACCATTGTTCATCAGAATTTGTACTTTAATTGTTAAGTCATTTATAAATGGCTTAAATTGTAGAAATATTTAGCACCCTATGGTTTTGTATAACAAACTCCCAGTATCTTGAAAACTAAGCATAAGTTCCAGATTTTACTATATATTCAAAATAATACATGGATATGAAAGTACCATGGTACTCATTTATAGTAAAAGATATTGAAAAGAATTTTCTTGTTATAAGTATGTTTATTTAAGTAGGTGGGAAGATCTAAAAGAAAAGCAGAAAAAGAAAAACTGATACTATGTATCAAAATGTATTGATACTATTTATTGCTGTCATTACTTTGCTCAACTCAGTTAAAATGTGAAGTCTCTGGATTCATAAGTAAGATGTAACAGGAACAAAATGCAGGATTTCCCTAAGAAATAAGGAAGACTCATCGGTGTCATGGTAGACAAAATAAATCTCCTTAGGAAAAAGGATTACAACACCGAAACCATAAATATAAAGACTAAGACTTGAGATGTGAAACTAATGAGGCAACATTTTGAATTTCTCAGAAGGCAGCTGACATTTTTATCGGTGTAAATGACACTGTTTCCATGATTTCCAAACAGTCTCTAACACACTGGACTTACTCTTGAAATTAATTTCTCTATCCTGAAGTCATTTAGAAATGTGTATTGAGATGAACCAACTGACTAGTTCTTAGGTTATTGCCATCAAGTGTTACTACATTTTGTTATATTTAACATATGGTGAATTTTAAAAAATAATTTCAGTGGAAGTTTGGTCAGTCTAGTTAAGAAATTAGAAATTCAATTACCATGGAAATATGTATATCACTTTTCCTTTAGAGAGAAATGTTCAAAAATATTTTTGTTACAGTTAAGTTTGGGGTAAAATATGTTCATCATATATTGCAAGCAAGTGTCTGTGTGACACGTTACATCTATACTTCAACCACAACAATATTAAAACAGAGTTAAAAACGAATGGGGCTGTGAAAGTAGATCAGTTGATAGAGTGCTTGCCTGGAATGCACAAATCCTTGGATTTCATGCCCAGTACCACATAACCAAGGTATGGTGGTCCATGCCTGTAATTGTCAAATCCCCTCACTCAAGCTGTGGAGGTAGTTATAGTGAGTTTGAGAGCAGCCTAGGTTACATGAGTCTGTCTTTAAAAAAATCAGAATGAGTAAGTAGATGGAAACTAAACAACGGGAAAGAAGCAAGAGAAGCCTCTGTCCTAACAACAATGTGAAAAATAGAATAAAAAAGAGAAGACCAAATGAGAATCCAGGTTTCCCATGAGAAAACCAGGAAAGAGACTGGAGAAGATTGGAGTCTTTTTAAAAGTAAATTTATTTGGTAGTAGACATGAAAAATAACATACATGTGCTATCTGTAGAGTGGAAAAGGTTCAGGTGTAGGATGCTGCTAAGGACGATGGGGATAACATAAGTGATTTCAAATAGGGCCTCAGTATCAGGTGGTATCAGCCCACATTGCAGCAGACAGGTGTAGAGCAGACATGCATGCATAGCATTTGTTTTCAGTCAGACTACGGTATCCTGTGTGCAGAGCGGTGTTATCGCACAGTATATTATTGCACTAGAAGCTGGCCATGATGTCTTCCCAGGTTTATCAGCATTATTGGTATTAGTAACTATTGGTGGTGTCAATATGATTTTCTTAGACTTTATTGTATTGCTGTGAGAAAATCACTGATAGGGAAGGCTCATGCTCATTGTTTCAAAGGGCTCAGTTTATAGTACTTTGCCCTCATGCACTCAGGTAAAACATCATGGTGGAGAGACTGTATGGCAGAGACAGGCCTTCACCTGTTGGTACATAGGGAGCAGAAAGAAGGTAGATAGCATGGCCCCAAGGATCTCTTCTCACTAATTTATTTCCTTTGACCAGGCCCTACCTCCTAAAGTTCCCCAATTCTCACAAACCAGTGCCCCCAGCTACCCACAAAAGATCATATCATCAGCCCTTGGGAGAAAATCTACATTCAAACTGTATCCAATGATTTGATGAAAGCGATGCGGTTTTAGTTCTGAGGACTTTTTCACATAATGACTAACTTCTCAACACTCAGTGTTGAATTATTTTTTAAATCATCTCATGTGCATATATGTGTGTGTAGGTAGGTGTGGCGGTCAGAGAACATCTTTCTCGCATTGCCTCTTCCTCCCCACCTTGTTTTTGAGTCATGGTTTTCTTGCTGTTTCTGCTGCTGTGCTGCTATGTGTGCACTCAACACTACAATCTCCTATTTGTACCTCCCATTTTATCAGAAGGGAGCTTGATGACAGAGGGGTATTACTGCTTTCAGCTTTTTTTCTTTTTTTTTTTTTTTTTTTTACTTATTTTAAAAAGTACTTTCTTTTAAAAATCACCTTTAAAAAAAGGTAACTGCTTTTTCTCACTGAGCAATCTCCTCAGCTTCCTCAATGTGATTTTCATTTTAAAACTAATATTTTTCCTGCTTCCCACCACGTCTATCCCAAGCTCTACAGCGGTGGTGAAAGGAAAGGAATCGTTACAAAGAGGGGATTAAGCAGATCACAGACAGTCTGACTCAGAAGAACAGGGCTGATGAGGTCATTGATTTCCAAACGCTGAAGGGATGAAAATCACCTGGAAGTCCTGTCACATTTCACTTCCAGGGCTTCTCTTGACATCCGGATTCAGTAGAATTGAACTGAGTCTGGGAATACACTTTTGGAGAACACAAGCTCCCCAAGTGAACTTTATCATTAGGGAATGTTGTGAAATCCGGAAACCCTAAGCCCAACTCCATTTCTTCTGCCAGGAGAAGATGGAGCCAAAGGTTATGTATCCAGGGTGTAAGTCTGGATGTGAGGCTTCCACTACTGTGTCATGGAACTTCTCTCTTGCCTAACTCCTTTGTTTGTTTTTTAAATTTTGTTCTCTGTAGTATGGCTAGATAGCTTCACCAGGCAGACAAAATAAATTTGATGGAAATATATAGAACCAGTCATAGAAAAATCTATTGTAGGGAGCTGCAGAATACTGCACCCAAAAGATGGCGCCGGTTTCCGCCCTCCGCCAGCCCGACGGCGAGCGCTCTCTGTGGTAAACAACTCCAAATTTGGTAATGGGCTGGAGTAGGGGTTATGTTTTCCATGATGCTGTTAGCCATTTTTGTTTGCCTATGGTGCCTATACAGGATCAAAAAGTCACAAAAATCTCAAACTGCTATGTTGGTACAGGCCTTTGCTGCTGTGGAAGCAGGACAGTCCCCTCAAGCATGGTTATCCATGCTGACAGACAAATAGATGTCTGTCTCGCCCTTGCTGAGTGAGTGATGCGTATCTGAATCAGTCATGCTCAATGACGGGCACCTACCCTCTTGCTGAGCGAATAAGCATACATGTGTTCCCTTCAACCTAAGACATGAGCCTATGAGGGTGACACAGTGACTCTTTGACGGGTAAGATAGGGAGACTGGGGTTAAACCTAAGACAGGGCTGACTAAAATCTAACAACAGATAGATACTACTACTCCTATAATATTAAAACAAAAAGGGGGAACTGTAGGGAGCTGCAGAATACCGCCCCCAAAAGATGGCGCCGTTTCCCGCCCTCCGCCAGCCGGACGGCGAGCGCTCTCTGTGGTAAACAACTCCAAATTTGGTAAAGGTCATGTATCCTCTTAATTCTGCTTGGAGACAACCTATCCTGGTGCGCCACGTAGGGTTAGTGATTGGTAGATATAGACTATATCAGGCCCCGTCTCCCTCGACCCGGGGCCGCCGCCATTATACACTGTAAAAGCAAAGAGGTTCCCGATTAAACTGTGTTGAAGAAGATTCCTTGGTGTGGCGTCGTTCTTGCTGGTCAAGGGTGGACGCCGCAATCTATAATTTTTTTCATTGACAATATATATTTAAATGTGTTTCACATTGTTACATACTGCTTACTTGTGGTGTTATATCGTGGTACAAGAAGATTTATTAATTAAAATATAAATGTGTAATAAAATCATGATGTGGTTGTTTGTACAAGAATGTCCCACATAAACTCATGTGTTTGAATACTTGATCCCAGTTGGTGGAATTGTATGGCAAAAATTAGGAGGTGTGGACCCTGTTGGATGAACTATGTTACTGGAGGCAGGTTTTACAGTTTCAAAAGACTCACACCATTCCCAGTGTCCCTGTCTATGTCTTTTAGATCAAGAGGTGAGCTGTCAGCTGATCCTGCCAGTATGCCTTTGCTTTGTCAGCATGAACCCTATTCCTTAGAACCACAATCTCAACTAAACACTTTCTTTTGTAAGTTGCCTTGGTCATAGTGTTTTGTCACAGCAACAGAGAAGTAACTAAGTTACAGGACCTTACTGTAAATGTAAATATATAAATCTCTCAACTGTCATAAATACCACTAGAGTTTCTTAGAGGTACCCATATTGGAAGGATGTGGAGCTTAAAAGACACAAGTTAAAAAAGACCAAACTGGAGTTTCAAATTTGCCACCAATTTTACATGTTTTAGACAAAATTCTTTAATATGAACTTCCATGTGAATAGAGTTCTATAGCTATTACCAGGCAGTGACCATTGCACTCCTCCTAGATCATCCACTCACAAAAGAGAGGTTTTGATCTTCATCAGTTAAATGAAAATCAAGTCACCTTCCTTATAAGAACAAACAGGAGACATATAACCATATCTTTCCAGATTAGAACATTTGAATAGAACATTTCTAGGTAAGTAGAATAAATACTAAAGTCATAACATTGGATCAAATTAGCTGGGAGATAACCTCATCACTCTCTTATCCTGTTCATGCACAATGCCCATTACTTAACTCTTGGGACATACTTTAGTAGACACATCAAATACATAAAAGTAACGTAGTGGGTCTTTGGAGTGAGGATGTATCCTTTAATCTAAAAAGCAAAGCCCTGCATTAGAGTTAGCTTATGGTGAATTCTATGAAGAAACACCATGCCACTGCTTCAACCTTGAATGGCACAATTTAATGACAACAGTGAAGTGGGGCTCAGTTGCTGGCATGTATAGCTTCTATTAACCACAAAATCTCAACTCCATGGTTCAATCAAACAACTTTTAATAGCAAGAAATATTTCTAAGAGTTTGGGCATTTGAATCTTGGATGCATACAAGATACTAAAATATTAAATTGGTCCCAGTATTTAGATCATACTTTTGTTTGTTTTCTTGTTCTAGTAGTGTATATATCTACTATATCTCTATATATAGTTATACAGTTTATTCTCTGAGAGTTTTATACATACATATAATTTATTTTGTCACAGTTACCTCCACTCCCTCCAACACTACATCCCCCACACACATTCTCTTCTGAAGTTGATATCTTTTTTGTAACTTTTATGTTACAAAAACCTGCTGAGCCTAATTACTACTGCCCATTTATCATGGCTTGGGGCCATCACTGGACAATGGTTAACCTACAGGCAGATATATCCTTAAAGACCACAGACCACCATCCACAGCCAATATGGGTCAATAGCCATGGGTGGGGACTCATGTCCTTCATCATCCATACTGGAATGCTGACTGGCTTGATCTTGTGCAGAATTTGTGCAGGGAAACACAGATATTGTGCGTTCATAAGTACAATAGGACTGCCATGTCCAAAAGACAAAGTTCACCCAAGTTCCCCTGAATTTCTTCATCTCACAATCTTTATGCCCTCTTTTCCATAATGTTCCATGAACCTTAGGATAGATTGTTGGCTAAAGATGTCTCATTTGTCACCGAGCACCCTGGAGACACTTATTTCCTATGTTTTGACCAGCTGTGGGTCTCTGTATTAAATGCCATCCACTACACAAAGCTTCTTTGATGAGGACAGAGTTACACTAATATATGAGTATAAAGAACAATATCCTATTACTGATTTTATATTACTCATTAATGTTATCAGCACTCACATTTAGGAATCATAATAAAAAGAAAAGACTAGTAATCCTAGTTCCTATAAGAATTTTGGACTTCTAGTAGCTTTGTTACTTTTTAAATAATTTCTCAGGAGTGTACAGTGATTTTGAAAATAAAACTATTATGATGGAATCTTGATAAGGGTCTGAAGACAAACCCCAGATCAGGGTTTCTGGTTGAAAACAATATAAAATGACTCTGAATAAAAGCCTTCATCTCCTTTGCTATATTTCCAAGCAGACACTCTGATTTACATTTGACTATATGAAATGAAATCTTAGTACATTTTATGCTATTATTTCACAAGTTCTTTCCTAGGGTGAAACTATAACTCAGTGGCATAGTGCTTACCGACTATGTATAAGGCCCTGAACATTAATGTGACAACAAAAAGAAAAAGAATTACATCCTTATTTTAACCCTAGAAGATTAGAGAACAATGTCAATTTGAATAATACACACCTTTTCATAACTTAGCTATTCTATATGAAACAAATTAAAATATTCCTGTGAAATTAAGATGAACTCCAGAATCTGGGTCAATAGAGAAACATTGATATGCTGTTATGGTTTTAAGTCAAAGTCTATCTTCCTTTAAGGTGTATTGTCTTTCCATAACTGAAGGAAAGAGGGCCTCATATAGATATGGTAGTGTTCATCTAGGAACCTGAAAGTGGAAGACAGGTCAGAAGAAGCTTAGCCAAAAAAAGAACGGGGAAAAAAAAGAGTACAGAGTTCTCAACACAGGATGTTTTGGGATCATGGTAAGCAGTGACTGTACACTGTTACTTGATGAGGAGTATAATTAGAGGTCATTCTGGAAAGTTACATATAGACCAAATCCTAACAGGTCAGATTTAAGCTGCATAGAACTGTGTTGGAAAGATATCATTCACTCAAAAATGAATGAATCAAAACATAACCAATCAAGCAATATCATTAGGAAGACTGGGGTACTAAATAATTGCTTAGTAACTGAATTCATGTTTCTTAGTGTTCACTATTAAAGTTTTCTTCATTTTATAATTTCTAAATGGCCTCTAATTCTTTATATTAGCTCAATATTCAAAGTGGTGAACACAAACATCTGGATAACAGGTCATGCACCTGTTTCACATCTGGCATCAGAAGAGAAATGCACTCTCTAAGAAGATACATCCAAACCTCTCTGTGATTCAGGTAATGTGAAATGTGTGCCCTGCAAAAGGAATTCAGGTATAACAAAACTGAAATGTTATTATGTCCATTATAGGAGTGGCAACTTTGAATCTATGTGGTTGATACCTGAAGTTCACTGGGAAAGACAGGAATTAGTGACACGAACTTGACTAAAAATCCATCAATGGGGAGAAGCTAA